AAATTTATATTATAAATATATAAACAGTACATAATAAAAGTTTGTATATTATTTATTATTGATTCTCGGTCAAATCAATTTAAAAAATGAATCACACTGCACAAATTTTTGCACAAAATTAATAAGATTGAGAACATATACAGGGTGTCCGGTAAAGATTGTGCCAACGCTCGTGAGTGGGTAGAGCACAGTAAACTGAACAGAAAAGTCCTGTAACATTTTTTTATATAACGCTTAATAAAGGAGTTATTATTGAGTAAAGTCTGGTCAATCAGCGTCGACTTTTAGCCGGACACACGTCGGTGAGCCGCCTGCTTGATAGTGTGCGCCGCCGTAGCGACGGAGCGCTCACGCACAGTACCAGGCGCGAAGCTAAAGGTAAAGAGATAAAAGTAAAAGAGATTGGAAAAAATGTTTCAGACAAAAGTTGTTTGGTTCGAAAGGGGACATAAGTTTGTTTCATTGGTTTGATCTTGAGTAAACGTGCCAAAATCATATGGAGTTCAACTTAATTTTTTTAAATGGAGTCCCCTATTTTTTATTGAATTAGTATAAAAAAATAATTGTTTTTAAAAAAAAGTATGTAATTATTTACAATGTATTTTTTTAACCAATTATTTGTTTTTTTTACACGAATTGATTTGTCTAATTATTCTGTACATAAAAGGGTAAATATAGCGAATAGGGGAGCCAGCCCCAATGACCTTGACCTTGACATATGTTATCAAAGACATAATTCTGAGTAACTTTTTCTTCTAATTTAATCGTCGCTCGTTGCTTATTAAAAAGTTATTAACAAACAAAAATTTGTAAAAATCAAGATTTGTCCCAAGCATCAGTCAGTCACTATTTTTAATTATTCATAACTTTGTAGTAAACAACGAGCGACGAAAAATTAGAAGAAAAAGTTATTCAGAATTATGTCCTTGACAACATATGTCAAGGTCAAGATCATTGGGGCTGGGTCCCCTATTCGCTATATTTACCCATAAAAGTACTACGGTAAGATTATCGAAAACTAAATATTTTACGAGATATTTTATTTTTTATATCAAAATATGTCAGATTAGGATATAAAATAACTCAAAAACTACTTAATGAAAAAAATATTTTATTATAGTGTTTTGAACAGCTCTCAAGGTAACCTACCTACAAGAATATGTTCACTCAAGGTCAAAACAATGGAACCATCTTATGCCTCGGCTAATGTTAGTGATTAAGTTTCTTGTATCTTGTATCCATTCAACAGAATGGTTCGAAGAGGAGGAATGTTATCATGAAATGTTAGTAAATAAGTTTCTTGTATTCTCAATGACGAACAGTTTCAATTTGCAAACGCTGGTAGGCTTCTAATTTCATATACTACTATCAGTTCGATTGAGAAATTCATCATGATCAATTTTTCAAATCCGAATGAATGAAAATTTCTTTTCCAACGTGCTTTTCACGGATGAATCAAGTTTTACCAACCATGGACAATTGAATACACATAATATGCATTATTGGTTCATTGAAAATCCGAAATGGCTTCAACAAGTGGTACACCAGCGTCCATGGAATGTAAATGTATGGTGTGGAATTCTCGGGGACCAGATCATTGGACCATTTTTCATTGATGGTATTTTGAATGGTGAAAAGTATGCGAATTTTTTGACTGAGGAATTACCTCACCTATTGGAAGGAATACCATTAGCTCAAAGGATTGAGATGTGGTATCAGCATGATGGATGTCCGGCTCACAATGCAAGAGTAGCCCGTGGAATATTGGATGAAAAGTTTCCTCGACGTTGGATTGGGCGAGGTGCAAACGTTGTATGGCCTCCACATTCACCTAATCTGACTCCATTGGTTTTTTTGTTATGGGGATTACTTAAGGACATCATTTATGAACATGTTCCAACAACGCCCGAAGATATGAGGATGCGTATTAGAACTGCATGTTCTAATATCAGTCAGGAAACAATAAGGAGGACAAGAGAATCATTTATTGGCCGTATACAAAAATGTATTGAAGTTGATGGACATCATTTTGAGCATTTGTTGAAATAAATTTTTTCTATTAAACCTTTTATCGTAAGTATTCCATTATTTATAACATTTCCAATTATTTTTTGATTTTCCATGGTCAAGGTCACGTGAAGGTCATTGTGTAATAGGTCGTTGGAAAGATCTCCACCTTTACTATCACGCCATGATAAAAAAAATATCTAATCCCATTTTAAAAAATATCGATAACCTTAAAATCTCAAAAAGTATGACCTTGAAAAAAGTTTTTTTATACGGGACGGTATTCGCCCCCTGACAACGAACAATTCTTGTCTATGCCATTTCTTTCTATCATTAAAAATAAGCGAGATATTCAAGGTGGTCAAGTTAGCTGGAACACCCTGTATATACTCTCACACATATAATTATGTCATAGGCGCTGTAATTTTATATAAATATGTATATGTATATATATAATAATACATATTGCGGCGGATAACCACCACAAAAGTACGGGCGCGCGAAGAGCCAATGCGCCCCTTGCGAAATGGCGGCAAGCGCGCGCGCCCAAGACACACGCGCTGAACACGTGCAAGCTCGAGAAACTACGAGAGCCTACCGCGACGCGGCGGCAGCCGCGAGCCGGCGCCAGTAAGTGGGGTCCAACGAGTGGTAGGATATAAGGAGGTGAGCCGATCGACATCACCAATCGCGGCTCACAGCTGCTAGAGAGGACTTCTCTCGTTTAGCAGCACCGAGCTTATCGACGGCGGACGAAACTCGGGTCTGTCCGTAGAAACCCTCCGCACCTTGCCTAGGCGAAAGAAGACACACCACGAGGAACGTCCACGTCCCTTTCCGCCGCCCGCATCACCGGGGCCTTTATTTCGGATCGGACCTCCTGCGGAGCCACCGACCAACACTTCCACTCGCCGGCACATCAGCTGGTCTTTCCGGGAGTGGAAGCTGCAGCCTTTGGAACTGTCGCCGGTGCGTTTCACCCATCCGGGCAGAGACTTCCTGTCGACGTGGGGCGTCAGGGTTAGGCGCTACACGTCGCCTACGTACGACTGGAGCTACCCTCCACGCCTGTCGCCGCGTCCACCATCGCCAGCACCAAACGAACGCCACCACTGTGAGACGCAGACCAACTCTATCTGTACGATACATAGGGGAACTCAGTCGCTCGCATCCACCTCCGAGAAGGCTACACAGGTGACCAACACCTCCACCTGTGAGCGTGCTACACAGTCGGACCTCTCGGACTGGGAAGAAGCTACACGCACATCCGCAACGCAGACGTACGAACCGCCGCTGCCTGAGAAGAGCTACACTCCTCCCGGGACTCCTCCGGCGCTCCGGACGAGGTGGGGTCCACTACGATACACCTCCACGGAACCGTCGCTCCAGTGGCGTGAACGTCGGCAGTAGGCGCAAACACCAGCGCCCAATCGGCTTTTTTCAGGACCAACCAAAAAACAAACTAAAATTAACGTCTGTATATACCTTACGACCTGTATAAAATTCTGGAAATATATTCTTGTACATAGTACGATGCTTGATCATTGATGACATCCTGTCCAGCGACATCTTCCCATTGCGAAGTGTAGATCTCGGGGGGCGCCGTATCTTTCAAAAACTACAACCCCACAAATTGGTGACCCCGACGTGATCTGACGGGGAAGATGCCGAAGGACGCTAACACCACTGTCATGTTGGACAACGAGGATACGACAGTCAACCGTATAGCCGTGCGGATACTCCCATTTTGGCCAGAGCTATGATTCGCTCAGCTGGTGGGACAACTCACCCTCAGCAACATCACGGACGATGGCATTAAATTCGCGCAAGTGATATCATGGATGGAGCCAAAACAGGCGCGGGAAGTGAAGGACATAATTACGCATCCGCCCGCCCATCAGAAATACGAGACCATTAAGAGGGCCTTAATACAGCGTCTCTCAGTATCTCACGAACAACGCATCCGGCAACTCTTAGAACACGAAGAGTCATCAAAATTGTGAACCTCTAACGCATGAAATTCAAACGAAATATTTTTATTTACAGGGCATTGTGAATTTGTTGTTTATATAATTATTATTTTACTAATTAACATATTTCTTACGATTAAATTAAACATTGTTCATTTCCTTCTGTTTTTTATAGAAAACAATTTATGTTATTATGAAAAACTCGCGCAATATTTATTTATTTAATGCTAAAATGTTGCTGGGAACGATAAAAATAAAATTATACAAAAAAAAAATTACACACGGGGGGATTCTAACCAGCGATCCCGCGCTTACAAGACTTGAGCACTACCCGCTCAGCCACATGGTCGCTTCGATTATCGTTCATCGCGAAGCGGTTAAGTCGTGCTGGAAAATCTTTCATAATTTTTTTTGGACGAATGCGTGAAAAGCGCGCGCTAAAACTTTAACACAATTTCTTTCTCATTAAGGACTATTCATAGAAAAATTACCGCTTGAATCTGAGATGGGCACGTCTGGCCCTCCCCTTGTAAGGAGAGCGTTCCCATGGCGCTTTATCATCGCCAACGTAACCCACCCGATCATAGGCTCAGATTTTCTATGTTACTACCATCTGCCGGATATCCGAAACAAAAAATTGTTAGACGGAGCAACCGGATTCGCTTCCGTAGGTACGGCAAGCAACAATAAGACGTACTCCATAAAGGCGGTGATAGAGGGCGACGAGTACCAGGACATCCTACGAAGGTACTCAGGGATTACACTCCTCTCGGGACTCCTCCGTCGCTCCGGACGAGGTAGGGTCCACCACGATACACCTCCACGGAACCGTCGCTCCAGTGGCGCAAACACCAGCGCTCAATCGGCCCTTTTCAGGGTCAATCAAAAACCAAACTAAAATTAACGCCTGTATATACCTTACGACCTGTATAAAATTCTGGAAATATATTCTTGTACATAGTACGGCGGGTACGTATAATGTCGGTGTGCGAGTACGGATAATGTATAGATGCGAGGATGTACAATGTATGTGTGCGGTTACGCAATGTATGTGTGCGAGTATGTATAATATCGGTATGCGAGTACGCGAGGTATGCGTGCGGGTACGTATAATGTCGGTGTGCGTGTACGGATAATGTATGTGTGTGTGCGGGTACGCAACGCGAGTGCGCGAGTGCGTGTAATATCGGTCTGCGAATATGTATAACGTCGGAGGGTGCATACAATGCACCGCGATCGTGCGCAGCGCGGTTCGCGTTTTCGGGTGTTCGGTCGCATATCGATTATTGATCGCGCGACGTAAATCCGGCAGGAGCCGTTAGCTGTCGGGTGGTCCTTTGCGACTGCATCGGTGGGCGGTGGGCGGTCCTTCGACGCGGGTATCAATTTCGGCTGTCGATCGGTGTCGCGGTGGGGCGCAGGTCGGCCCTCGGCGCGGGACTTAGCGCGCCGTTTAATGGCGAGTCCGGATGTCGTAATGGCGGTCGCGGATGCCTTTGATAAGCGCGTATAGCGCGTTCGGTGTTACGTCGAGATGGTGGTCTTTCCCCGTGGAATTGCAGGAGTGCAACGGCCGACGAGAACACCCGTCGATGGTAGGGAACTCCCTACCACTGGCAGATCGCCGTTGCACGTAGGTAGTCGGATTTCTGCGAGGTGTCGAAGACTCTCGACGGGGACGAGTACGCCCGTTCCCGTTTGCCTCTTTTAATCGGTCTCGGAAGGATCGCTCTCGGAGATGCCGCAAACTCTCGGCGGAGGCTGAGTACACCCAACCCCGTTTTCTCTCTCTCTGAGCGGTTAAGGATCTAGGCGGTTTCCGGGCGTCTTACAGACTCTGGCGGTGCGAAAGATCTGGTCTCGATAATTAGAAACGCGCTGTATTTATACTGATTCTTCGGCGCGCGCGTCTGCGTAATTCGCGTATTGTTCTACCGGTAATATCTCGAAGCGGCGCGCGCGGCTCGGGTGTTTTCGGTACAGGTCGGGTCGGTTACCCGAGCGCGTCGTCGATTCGAAATGTTTATGCGCGCCTAACGGCGGTTTAATAGACGCGTGTTTCTGTTATCGTTTCAAAATGGGCGCTCAGCGCCTCCGCATTTGCCCGACCGGTGTTTGTCGGGCGGCGGACTTCCGGCGGATCGGCGGCCGGGTACGGTGCAGTAACGATGGGGGGATGCATCGTTACAATATTCTTTCGTTACTATAGCTTTTATTCTTTCTATTTTCGTATCCTTACATAAAAATAAATTAATTTATGTATTTGCGTCTTATAACATACATGAAAAATGCATTAAGTGATTTTCTCTTTCTATTTTGCTATTTTCTATAAATATATTTATATAACATCTTTTTATATAACATAATCTTTTTTATAATTTTATTATTTTTGTTTCCTCATAGAGGAAGTTTTGTTTTCGTGACAAAATTTTTTTCGGTTTTTCTGTGCCAATGTGTTTAGAATGTTCCAAAACGTCGAAAAACCATATTTCTAAAAAATGTCTATATGTATGTATGTATATATGGATGTATGTATGTGTGTATGTGTGTATGTATATATGTATATATGTATGTATGTATGTATGTATGTACGCAATATATTGTACAACCTCTGACTTCCGCAATTTTTGAGATATCGGGTTAAATTTTTTTTATATGGATAGAGTATCATTCAAGGATGGTTGGTATTGAATTTGGTGAGAATACTTATTGATTTGTCTCATTATTCTGTACATAAAAGTATTACGGTAAGATTATTGAAAACTAAATATTTTACGAGATATTTTATTTTTTATATCAAAATATGTCAGATTAAAATATAAAATAACTCAAAAAGTATTTAATGAAAAAATACTTTATTATAGTGTTTTGAAAAGCTCTCGGGATAAGCTACAAGAATATGCAATAAAAAATGGGGGGTTCCATTTAAGAAAATATCGATCACATTGACTTGGCCTTGAAAAGGTCACTCAATGTCAAGTCCATATTTTCATCATGTGTCCTCCTCTGAACCTTACAACTTTTGTATAAAACATTTTTTTCAGTCTTGCTTACTTTACAAAATATTTGCGT